CGCCACGAGGTCCTCTCCTAGGCGATACACCCAGTCGCTCTCCTGCCCGTCCCGGTGTCCGGTACCNCCCCGCCGCTTCCCCGATTCTCTTTCTCTTCGGGCCCGGGGCGGCCGTATACTCTCCGTCTCTGCTTCCTCCGCGCGCTGGCGTTGGCGCTTCGCGGATGCTTCCGCCTCCTGTCTGTGCCATTTCCTCATGAACCATGCCGCCCCGTCCTCGATCTTGTCGTACCACGCCTCCTGGTCCTTGGCGCTCTCTTTCCATCTCCCCCCCTCCTTCTCCTCTTTCATGCCAAACGCCACGAGGTCCTCTCCTAGGCGATACACCCAGTCGCTCTCCTGCCCGCCCCGGTATCCGGTACCCCCCGCCATCGCTCCCAGCAGCATGCGCTTGGGGAGGCGGTTGTCCTCCATGCGCATAACGAAGCCCGCAAAACACAGCCTCCGTTTGCGCACGGTGGCCTCGATGGTTTCCTCGCAGCCGGCCTGGATGAGGGCCTGGGCGTAGGACAGGGGTCGGTCTGAGCGCTTCCGCTTGCTCCAGCCGATACACCGTGTCAGGAACTGGCGGTGGGTCCCATTCAGCTTGGTGTAGTGCTCCGCTGCCAGGCTCCACGAGGCGCACCCGTATAGGAGGGTCTGCACCACTTCAGCCTGGAGTAGTCGGATCTTGAGCTGGCGGTTGGCCCGTTTCCTGTCGTACATCGAAGTGCTGTTCCGGCGGTAGCACTTCCATGCTCGGCAGATGCGGCTCGTGATCTCCCGGTCGACCTTCCCATCCGCGCAGATGGTACGTCCGAGGTACACAAACCGATCTGTCTGCTTGTACGTCTGGCCAGCGGCGCTGACCGCGAACGGGCGTTCCCCCAGCCCTTTCGGTAGCATGCACATGATCTCCGTCTTTGGCTCCGATACCATCAGTCCGAACAGGCCGGCCACGCGCACGATGATGGACATCATCTTTTCGAGGCTCTCCGGCGTGAGCGAGACGATGGCCGCGTCGTCAGCGTAGAGCATGTCCCACAGGGCCTCTGCGACCGTCACCATCATCGCCTTCTTCCCCGCCGACCTGCCCCTCTTGCCCGTGCACTCCACAGGTGTGGGGGGCGCCAGTCAATGTAATGGACTCCGCAAAAAAATATGTCTTGGAAAAAAAAGACACCACCACACGGACTCGAACCCATGATATCGAGAGTGAGGGTGGCATTCACCGAGTTCAAAAGTGAATTGGTTTGTTGTTTTACAACGTCGTTTCCAAGCGACGAAAACCCAATCCCGATGGCAAACACCGAGGGCGGCGGGGGGGGGGGGCCCTCATAGTCGTGCATGCCGTAGTCGTTAGACCATTGACCTCGCATTCCTACAAAGCCGGGACGGAGCACGCCGGGTTCTCACCGGACCAGGCTCTCACATCACCAACCAAGGAAGGGCGAAGCGCCGCGAGATATTCGGCGAGTCGCATGAAGGGTGCGCTGCATAATATTTTCTGGTGCTTTCACTTCCTGACAGTTGTATTGCGTACGGATGACAGCTGCGTATGAATTAATTTATTTTCTGGTGCTTTCACTTCCAGAGACAGTTGTAAGCACTGTGTAACTGCCTCGAGGGTGCTTGACCATTTTAACACAACGTGGTGCGATCATCCCCCTTGCGCGGAGTGAGGGTTCTCCACCCCGCACAACATGATCTACTCGACCACCATTATGGTTACCGCCAAAAAAAAAAACGGAGGTAAAAAAAAAAAAAACGGTAACCTGGTTGCCGAGTTCACGAAGTGAATTGGCTTGTTTTACAACGTCGTTGACAAGCGACGAGAACCCAATCCCGATGGCAAACACCGGGGGGTAGTTTTACAACTTCGTTGCGAAGCGACGAAAACCTAACCCCGATGGCAAACACCGGGGGCGAGGGAGGTGTACTCCGGGGGGGAGGGAGGGGTGTGGTATATTATATTGAAGAGAAAAGAGGAGTGCCCAAAATCGGGTTCACGCGGCCCCAATCCCACCATTAATTATCGGGTACACTTGTTTTTCGCAGTCGGCAGCGCCCTCCTGGCGATATCTGATTGGCCGACGCCCGCCCCTACCCGGCCCTGGCCCTATTCCCACCGGGTGCAAAAAATAGGGCTAGCAGCTAAAAAAAAAAAAATGTCTCTGCTGTTGTGCTTCGCTTGTTGTTCAGTGTCGTTATGCCGGGATTATTCTTTTTTTATTATTGCTGCCCGGGGACACGTTTTGCCAAGAATCAGAACTCCTTACGAACTATCACCAAACAATAGTACTACACTTCACACGCCTCGATATGACAATTTGTTGTGTTCGTGAGTCTGCGAACATTGCTGTTGGATACATGTGCTGGATGATTTTGTGTCACGCAGACTGGTAAGATAACCGTTTGATAGGGGGCACCGCGATGATTCACGGGGCCCCTCCTTGCTGTGGGAGCCGCTCTTTGAGCACTCCCTCTTTCGTCCGTGTGAAGGACGGTCGTCTACCTCCCGTGAAGTTAATACATCACCNGGCAGCGTCGTGGCGGATGCAGCCAGTAGGGGTGGCTGGGTTGCTGCCCCCAGAGGCCAACGAGACGAGCCCACGCAGCCGCTCGGCGGTGGCGGGGGATTTCTCCAGCAGCAAACGAGAAATAGTGGGCAAGAACCACGGTCGCTGCTGGAAGGCGGCTGGGCCAACAGATCGGGAGCGAACCCTGTTGGACCAGCCGGAGTGGGCCCGGGCATAGGACCGGACTACGGGGAAGCGAGGGGGTTAAACCCC